GGAACAAATATCTATTTTTTAATTTTTCTTTTTTGTGGCCCTAGGGATCAAACTGAGGACTCATGCATGCTAGATGACTGCTTACCATGGAGCTATATCCACAGCCCTTAATTTATTCTTGAATTTAACAATGAATAATAATAATAATTACCCTCTGCAGGATCAGCCTGCCCTGGAGCATGACCTCCTGCTACTTCTCCAGAAGGCTCCCCCTGGTGTTTAATCAAGTCCAACTTTCCTTGATTCTTTCTGAACACAAAGTACTTCTAATTGTCCTAAAAAAAGGTACCTACCGATGCGACACATGTTATCAACAAAGCTAAATCATTTGGCCAAATTTTGGAAAACGTTGAGTGCATACAGTTGGCTGACCATAGCTGCAGTTTCTGGATCCATGGATTTAGTCACCCACAATCGGATGTATTTGAGAACATATTGCATGTGTGCTGAACATGTCATACTTCTTTCTTAAACAACACAGTACACATAGCATTTACATAAACCAGAACTGTTTACCCCAGAGTAGATACTCCGAGTAACTGAGAGATGATTTATACTCCACGGGAGAATCTGCTCAGGATCTCGGTAAACACTGTGCTGTTTCATATAAGGGGTCCAAGCAACTGCGGACTTTGACATCCTTGAGGATCCTGGAACCCTTTCCCTGTGAATACTGGGGACAACTATAAAGTAAACCTTTTTTTTTTTTTTGAATGCTCAGGACATACATTCCTGCCAACCTCGCACCGCACCGTCAACCAAGCAATCATTCAGAAAGAGATAACTTAGCTCTGCCCCTGACCCTGGCTGTGTGACCGTGGGCAAGTCATCTCACCCCCTTGACCTCTGATTCAACAAACATGGATTGATCACCACTCCACTCCAGGCCCACGCCCAGCACTAAGGACGTAATGGTGGGGAAATGGTACGCTTCCTGTTCTCACAGTCTTCTTAAGTTAAGGGGATCTCAAACTTTGAGGTGCATCAGAATCGCACAGAGAAATGGATAAAGCACAGATAGGCCTGGGCCCCCCTCCAGACTTTCTGGGTCAGCAGGTGTCTGAGAACTTGTTCCCCTGGTGACATTGCTGGTCAGTGAACCCTACTTGGAGAGCCAGCCCTCTAAGGGGACAGTCACGGTAGCCCTCGGTGAACTGGGACCCAGACAGAACTTCTTCTATGGGGATAGAGACTGTTTCCCTGGTCACGGCAGAGTTAATCAGTCCTGAGACCTTGGCTTCTCTGGAACTGACGATAATTCCATATTTTTTAGCATCATCAGAATCGAATCGTCACCCCGGCTGACGTTTGTTGTTATCGGTTTCATCTTGATTATCCTAAGTGGGTGTAAAGTGGTTTCTTCCTGTGGTTTGGATCTGCGTCCTTAATTGTGCTAAGCATATTGTCATGTGCTTGCTGCCACAGTATACCTTCTGTGGACGAATGTCACTCCAGATGCCTTGCACATTATTATGGAGTTGACAGTGTTTTCTGTACACACTAGAAAAAGTCCTTTATCAGACATGTGATTTGCAAATATTTTCATTCATTCCGTGCCCTGTCTTTTCACTTCATCGATGGTGATCTTTGAAGCATAAAGATTGTACATTTTGATGAAATCTGATCTATTTTTTTCTTTTGTTGCTTGTGCTTTTGTTATCCTAGCTTAGAATTCTTTGCCAAATCCAACGTCATGAAGATTCACCCCTATAACTTAAGAATATAGCTTTTTGCTCTTAGATTTATGTATTTGGCCCATTTTGAGTTAACTTTTTGTATATGGTGTGAGGTAGGGAATCCAACTTCATTCTTCTGCTTTGGGTTAGCCAGTTGTCCGAGGTGGGCACCATCTGTTGAAAAAAACTACTGTCCCCCATCATCCAGGATCATATAGATGATTTGGTGTTCTTACAACTCGAGAGGCTGAGGAAGGAGGATTGCAAGTTCAAGGCCAGTCTCAGCAACTTATCGAGGCTCTAAACAACATAGCGAGGTCCTGTCTCAAAATAAATCTAAAAAGGGCTGGGAATGTGGCCCAGTGATAAAGCACTCCTGGATTCAGTTCCTAGTGCCCCCCCCCCCAAAAAAATCGGCTGACCTGACCCTAGAGACTTATATTTATTTTTGTACCCCCAGTTCTATTCCACAAACCTCTATGTCCACCCTTGAGCCTGTACTACACTGCTTTAACTACCACTTGTGCTTAAATGTTGGGACGGGGCTGGGGAGGCAGCTCCGTGGTACAGTGATTGCATGTGTAAGGTCCTGGGTTGGAGTCTCAGCACCGCAAAAAGAAAGAAAAAACCTTGTTATACTATTTTATTAAATGCACATTGATTTTGATGATGATGATGCTAAAATATGACAAGAGAATGGTCAGTGTTCTTTCTCCCATCCCTGACAGGAGGCATCCCTCCTGGGGGCTGGTTAGAAGTGCAAACTCCCAGACCTACTGAGTCCTGGGTGAGGGTCCCGCGATGTGGATAGTAACGAGCCTCCAGCTGAATGGCACTAACGTTTGAGGGTTGCTTCTCCTTACACACCCCTGCAGAGCTGGTGCTGAGGGGCTCTAGTGCAATGCTCTCTATCTGGCCACAGTGCACATCTAGTGGCACCTAACGTTGGTGCAAAGAAACAAGGGAATAAGAATCTGTATTTGCTCTCATTTGTGTAGAAGAAATAGTAGAAACATAAACATGGAACTAATAAAAAATTCTTCTTGGGAGGAATTACTAATCAATACTCAATTTTCTAAGTATATTGAATAGATTTGGGTGAGTCGTGGATGTTTTGTTCCTTTTTCTGTGTCCTAAGTTATTGACTTTGGTCTCCTGTTACGGTTTGGATATGAGGCGTCCTCCAAAGCTCCTGCGGGACACAATGCAAGAATGTTCAAAGGTGAAATGATTGTGAGAACCTAAAAACTGGGTGGTAGCTAGGGGCAGGTAGGGTGCGGCAGGAGGAAGTAGGTCACTGGGGGTGTGCCTGTGGGGTTGACGTCTTGACTGTGGGCAGAGGAGCACTCTACTTCCGGGCTGTGGTGTCCTGAGCTTCTCTCCTCAGTCGTACCTTTCTGGCATGACGTTCTGCCTCTCCTCAGGCCCAGAGCGATGGAGTTGGCTGGTGATGGACTGAACTTCTGAAACTGTGAGCCAAAATAAACCTTTCCTCCTTTTGGTTGTTTTTATCAGGTCTTTTGTTCAGAGTGATGGAAAGCTGACTAAAACGTCTCTATCAGGAATGTTTTCAGCTACAAGTAACCAAAGAAACTTACCTGGAAAAATCATTATTTTCCTAATGTCACAAGGAATACAATAGATCGCTACGGGCAGTGACTCCAATCTGTAGTTCTTTGGCCTTTCCCTCATGACCCTAAGATTGTTGCCATGGTTCCAAGTATCACATCTGCATTCATAACAAGCAAGAAAAACGATTAGGAATGGTAGTGCCAAGTCTTTCTGATCCTTTTATTGACAAAAAAAAAAAAAAAGAGCATTTTCAGAAGTCTTTTAAATAGATTTTCCAAAAGAGAGTAAGTAGTTGGCATCCCCCCAAAACAAGCTCAGGCCAGTGATGATTGACCATATAGAACCGAGCACATGACCCTGAACACATTTAGGGTTTGCTTAAAAGAAAGGAGTGGGGAGGTGGACTAGGCCACCGTCTATCCCTCTCTGTCCTGTGGGGTTTGCTCCTGAGTTACTGGCTGTCCATGCTTCTCTGAGTGAAGGGTTAGTTGGTGGAAGGGCCGATGGGACACATGCCCCACAGGACAGGGGCCCCAGGGGACAGGGACAATGAAGGGCAGGCCCCACGGAAAGATGGTCAGCCAGAGAGTCTGCCCTTCTGTAGCACAGCCCCAGGTATCCATGTGACAGGTGGCTTCTGTGGCCCTATTTAGTTTTTCCAGAAAGAAACCCCTCTATGCAGGTGCCTCGGGCTGGATGTGAAGGGCAGGAGGAAGGGCCGGGTCTGACCACTCCACCCCGGGGGCTTTCATTCCGAACAGACGTTCACACAACCAGCCCCCACCCCCCATTCCCGCTGACAAGTCTAAGACCATCCTCCCGGCTCCTAGCACCTCTGAGAGAACCCGATGTGTTTCTGTGTCCAGGAAGGGTGGCCAGGCTTAACCCATCAAAAGACAAAGTGCCCGGTGACATTTCAATTTTGGATTAAAAAAAAAAAACCAACTTGGTAATTTTTGAGCATCATCATGCTCCAAATATTTCACTGCGCTATTTCTTTGAAGCTCACATTTCACGGGGCTCCTTGTATTTTATCTGTCCCCGGGGGACCTTGGGCAGTGTCTGGAGACGTTGGTGGGTGTCAGGAATGCGCTGCTGCTGCACCCGGTCCGGAGAGGCCAAGGGTGGCCTGAACGTCCTGCCGTGCCCAGGACAGCCTGACACCGAGACTCTCCCGGGCCCAAATGTCAGCGGTGCCAGGTGGGGAAGCCAGCTCCAAGGCACATCTCAGCTTCTCCGGGGAATAAAGGTGCGGTTCCCTGAGGGACATCTCGGGCCGCCGAGGTTGGGCACTTGGTCTACTTTGTTAAATCTCAGCGTGATCTACTTCCCAGGGTCACGGCAAAGATGGACACAGTCTCGTTCCTAGCTTTCGTCTCTGTCTAATGGACATTCCTTTTGCCAGGAGAGGAGAGCTCTGCTGTCAAGTTCAGGGCCAGGAGGGCGCTCTGGGGCCTCTGCTTGGTAAATTCAGAGGCGGCCTCACAAAGTGGCCGTGCAGAGCTGGTGGCCGGCTGAGCCCCCTTGCCCCTCTCCTGCGGGAAGGCCACCCACATCAGCCGTCTGCTCAGCAGAACTTTCTTTGAGGGCAGGGGCGGGAGGGAGGCAGCCCAAGGTGGGGATGGAGCGGCTCTTAACCAAACAAGCTTCAGAAAGAACGGGCCAGGAAGGAAGCCCAGGGTGGGGAGGCTTCCCCTGGTTCTTGTGAGCCAGCCGTATGAGGCCCTGGCAGGGTATTTGAGGTGACCGATCCCAAGCCCTATTCACGGTCACAGCATTAGAATTCAGGTGTCCTCCCTCCTGTTCCCGGACCTGGGCTGCTTTCTACCCTCCCCTGCGTCCCACCTGTGGGGACAGGGACAGAACCCAGTCTGCAGATGTTGGTGTCCCTGGAAAAAGACTGCATGGTAGGGCCTTGCCTTGATTTGTTCTTTTAATAAGGAAGAGGAGAACTTACTGCTGACCCCGAGAAGCTGGGAGGTCTGGGGAATGTCAGAATTGAAATCCACTAAGAAAAGCCAGACGGGCATGGCCTTCCGGGCGGAGGGGCACTTGGGTTTCTGGGAACTCTGTCTCTGCAGTGGTCCGCTTGCTGGAATTCAAGAAGCCCAGGAAGAGGGGAACGTGGGAAGGCCCCCCGGGCTCCGCTGCAGCCCAGCCTGGCCTGCAGAGTGGGGTGGGGGGGTGTGAGCACAACCCCCTCCTCCTTTAAGTCAGCGCTTGCTGCCATCAGTGTTGGTCACGTCTGTGTGAACTCCAGTGGCCACCCGGTTCTCGCCCCCATCTTTGGGAGGCATTGTGGTAAACTCAACGAAAATTTAAATGGAGAGGAACTCGCTTCCGTTTTTGTCTTCAACCTTCAGAACAGTAGTGGAGCGATGGGGTGGGAAGGCTTGGAAAACACAGAAACAAACGAAGAAGTCGGGGGGATCAGAGCCGAGCCATGTTGGAGTTGTTAGGTGAACGCTCACCGAGACCACCTCTGCTTTGACCTACTTCTTTCTAGGATTTTTCTCTAAGCTTCATTTTTTAAGCTCTTTAAATGCAAGGTTGTACCTTGCTTTAACAAAAAAAAAAAAAAAGAAAAGAAAGAAAGACTATCATGAGGCTGGGAGCCACTCGGTGGCTGAGCTCATGCCCAGCAAGCCCAAGGCCCTGGGTTCCATCCCCAGCACCCAAAGCAACAAGCAAACAAAACTGCTGTTTTGGGTTTCTAGGAACCAAACCACTCGATGCCAATGATACCGCTGTGACTTCCCATTTTGCAGGTGACAACTTGGGACTCTGACCAGCCGCAGAGCTGGCAAGTGGCACAGGAAGGCAGTTCCCGTTCCATATTATAACTCTGTTTGAACATCATTTGAATGGTTGTCCACTGGTTCCAATTGCTGGATCACACTTGATAAAATCATCCACCTATCATGGAACACTGGGGGTCCTTCCAATTTCTTGTGGTTACAGATAATGTTTGACTTTTTATTTGTGATTAGAGAGAATGCAGTGAACATCGTTAAGAAAAACTGATTTAGATTTTTTTTTTTTTTTTAGGATAGATTTCAAAAGGTGACACTGGCGTGACTGTAATTCTTTTTAAGTATTTTTACAGGGAGAGTCACACTGGTACCCAGATGGGTCCCTTTCCCTGTATCCTCAGCAGCCATGGCGATTATTATTTTGAAACTTTTAGTTGGTTTTTTAAAGTCAAGAATGAGTGAGTACACTGTTTGAATTTGCTTAGAGCTAACCGGGTGGAATATCGTTTTCTTTCATTTCTTGGCAGGATGTAGTATTTTTCCTTGGGCAGTCCTGGGGTCCAAACCCTGGCCTTGCCCCCGGTAGGCAGGTGCCCTATTACTGAGCTACCTCCTCCGCCCATAGTCTCTTTCCTAATTGTTTTAGCTCTTTATCCAGTTCACTGTTGGGGCTCCCAGGTTCTAACCAACTTGAATGAATAATTCGGTAGCAAGTATTTTGTCACGTTCCCAGTGTTGTCCTGAGGCTGCTCTTGGCCTCCAACATTTGACTTTGTTTTTCCTGCCTGATATCTGAAAGTGTTTCCCATTGCGATACCTCTCCTCTATTCACGCCTCTTCCCTCCGAGTAACATGTTTTTTAACATTTCAGGGAGATTTCTCTTATTAGAAATTAAGATTCAAAATAACACACAAAGAGAAAGCACGCCAGCGCCTCTCCATCCCCACTCTGCTGGAGCCGCTGATGGCCGTGACTCCGGGCCTCCAGCTGCCCAGCGCTGATTGGCACGCGCCGTCCCTGGGCACGCTCGGGGCGGCTCCCTGCCCTGGCAAGCCTCCTGGCGGTTAACAGCTCTCATTAGGTGACGGAGCAAGCCCTCCACGGACGCTCTTATTCTGCCCAGCAAATCTCTCAGCTTTTGTTCCAAGCTCGGCAGAGACAGAGAGGAAAGGCCATGTCCCCAGGTTAGGGTTTTTCATGCCTAACATTTGCCCAGGACGTGAAAATAAATATGAATAAATATATCATATCCCAATAAGTATTTCCTGGTTAAAGTTGACTTTTAAAATCTCTAATTAGGACTATTTCAGGCTATCTTCAAGTTAAATGAGCTAACAGTTTTTTAAAAAACTCTTTTTTTTTTTAGGGTTTTTTTGTTTTGTTTTGTTTGGATTTGGGTACTGGGAATTGGACCCAGGGTGCTTAACCACTGAGCCACATCCCCAGGTCGTTTTATTGTTTATTTAGGGACAGGGTCTCACTAAGTTGCTGAGGACCTCACTAAATTGCTGAGGCTGGCTTTGAACTCCCGATCCTCCTGCCTCAGCCTCCTGAGCCACTGGGATTACAGGCCTGTGCCACCGCGCCTTGATCATCTTGATATTTCTCCCTTCACTCCTGGTCCTCCTGGAGTTCAGTCTCCAAGCTGAGGTGGAGAAGAGTTCACCTCCTGTCACCGCTGCCTGGCGCTCTTCCAGAAGGGGACCCAGAGTCTCCATCCCTCCGCCCCCGTTTCTCCCAGCCAAGCCCTGGAGGGTGTTCAGCCTGGCCTTGTCCTGGAGGAGCTGCAGGCTGACGTGCACACAGGGGCCAGAGGAGACGGGGCCCAGCTGAGCTCTCAGGTACAGAGTGACAGGCACAGGAAGTATCTGACTGTGGCTCACAAGCTGACATCTGATCGAAGGGGAGCCACCATCCACAATAACATTGTCATTCGTAGTGAAGTATTGTCACGAGGATATGTTAAAGGCCACGGTCCTGTATGTACATAATCAGGGAATTTCCCTTTTTCCTGGGAAAAACATCCATTTCCCAGTCCTTAAAATGCCCCCGAGAGGCCAGGCTCTGCCGTCACCGCTGCTGACATGTAGTCATGCCTCCCGTGTCACTGTCCAGGTGAGCTGGAGGCACCGTTAGCTGAGCTGCCGGAGGCCAGGGCCAGAGCTGGAAGAAGAGGTGATCACGGTGGAGGTCTGGCCTCAGAGCCCCCTGTTAGGACAGGCACCCCCAAGTTCCAGGACAGAGCCTCAGCTTGCACCCGTCTAGCCATCCGGTGTCACCTGCTCCCTCAGCCCCGGGATGCTGAGGAAGGGACCGCCGGAGGCAGCTCCGATGGATGTGGTGGAGGGTGGTGTGGAGGGTTTTCCCCTGCAAGGCCGTCACCCTGGTCCATGCCAACCCCGAGGCCGGCAAGGATGGTCACGCCAAGGTGCCGCTGGGGCACCTGAAGCCTTCGGAAACCCTGCCGTCCCAGAACCAGGAGGCCAGGCCTCCCTCAGGGACAGCCACATCTCCTGCACTCAGGCGACCTGCTGGGCCGTCAGCCCCTGCCCCCGGGGGTCGGGGTGCTTTTCCCTGCTCTGGGCCCACGGTCTCACCCCAGCACCTGGCCCGGGCCTCCTTGGCCTCCCTGACCCCGGGGACTGGCTGGTCAATGGCAGTCGGAAACCATGAGGGTCTGTGAGGCCCAGGAGGAGGCAGAGGCTGCTGGCCTCCCTTCCCCAGGACCAGTAAAAATGAGAAAGAAGGAGAGAGGAACAAACAGGGAAAATCAAGCTGATAAACACAGCAGCGCTCCGACTCTCGCCTCTGAGTCAGTTTACTGCGGAGGGACTGGTGGCAGAGGCAGCGCGATTGCTTTAGAATAAAGGAGCTACGGCCTGGGGAGGGAAGGGCCCCGCTGATGACCGTTGACCTCAAACCTGGACCTGTGTGGTCTGCATTTTAAATCATCAAGGTACCTCTGTCCAGGGTCCGACAATCTTAGTCTTCCTGAATTGAGAACGACTGAGGTGGGGACTCAGACAATGTGCGGAAATGAAAAGCACACTCACAGGTGACAGTCCCCAACACAGTCAGAAGAGACAGCAGAGCTCCAGGCAGAGGGGGGGAGGTGAGGAATACTTAGGACAGGAAGGTCCCAGCTTTCAAAATGTCTAAGGTTGAACGGGGCAAAAGATACGTCGTATTTCTACCAGAAAGGTGACCACAAGAGTACACAGCACGCCAGGTGTGATGGCTCACGCCCGTCATCCCAGTGGCTCGGGAGGCTGAGGCAGGAGGATCGAGAGTTCAAAGCCAGCCTCGGCAACAGCGAGGTGCTAAGCAACTCCGTGAGACCCTGTCTCTAAATAAAATACAAAAAAGGGCTGGGGATGTGGCTCAGTGGTGGGGTGCCCCTGAGTTCAATCCTCGGTACCAAAACTAAATAAATAAATAAGAGTACAAAGCGTGTGATCAGAACTAACCAAACGTCTAAGCTTTCTTTTTATTTCATTGTTTTGTTTAAGGTCTTATTGTTACCATAAAATATCAGTTACATATTTCTAAATTTACTGTATTTGTGTCTAGATTTACTGTATATTCCTGCTTTGCAGAAACTTTCCCACAAATGACTTCTGAGGATAAGACCTGTATGGTGACAGTGCTGAGCTAGCTCTGTCCCTCCATCAGAGGACAGTGCCCCACCTGGTCCCAGCTTCCTCTCCCACTCAACGTTCCACGTCCGCTCCGCCAAGGCTCCACGTGGGCCCTGAAGCCGTCTTCATCTTGCGCGCCCCTGTTCTGCAGTTTCTGTTTTGTGATCATCTCGGTTCACCTACGTCTTTGAGTTCAGAACATCCTGCAGATCAGACTTGAGTGGAAGCGAGACAGGCAGGGGCCCCCGTGGAGGACCAGAGGGTGGGAAGATGAAACAATCACCCCGTGCAGCATGGCCTGTGGCTTCCCTACCCCGATAGCCCCAGCAGCAGGACGTTTGCCAAGAAAACAGTGTCGCCGGGGGAGACCTGGTGAACCCTGTGGCTTCGCCTGCTCTGTGTCAACTTAAAAGTGGCTGATCTGGGAGGTCCCGGGGTGACCTGATGACACGCGGCCTCCCACAAGCTCTGCTGTGGCTAACACCTCTGATGCGCGGGTCCTGATGACAACGGTTGCCTAGGTTACCTGCAGGGAGTGGGTTTGCTGAAGAACACTGCTCCTCCTTGGCTCTGCAGATGTCTGGTGGGTGGAGGGAGCAGGACCTGTCTTCCTATTGAGTCTGTCCCCTCTGTGGCCTGAACTTCTGGACTAGATTCTACCCGGCTCTGCATGGAGACTCGCTCTTGCCCCCTGGCGCTGGTAGAAGTTTCTTTCTCCCGACTTTGGGCTTTTTCAGTGGCGACAGCAGCCCAAACAGCACAAGGCCTTGAGCCTATCCTGAGGCCCAGCTGGAGCCCCAGGGCCAGGATGTCTGCACAGGGCGGGAGTGCCAGGCGCCAGAGGACAAGCTGACCAGGACAGCCTTGGGTCTGAGTCTTCTGCAAGAAGAAATATCATTTGGAACCACTCCCGGGGCCATTGATCCCATCTCTGGCATCAAAAGTTTCGTTTGAGGGAAAATCCTGCCTCTTGGAAGTATGAAGGCCACTCTCCTATCTCCCAACTGAACCCACAGGAGCTATGCCAGAGAGCCTGTGCTCAGCCTGGACTTCCAGCCAGGTGTGCGCGCCAATCCCCACCTATGATGACTGTTTGTGACCTGACCTTGAAATGTGGCAGGCCCCCAAAGCCACTCATTTTCTATTGGAGCTAGCAGCAGAATGACTTGGTGTCGGATTTGGAAAATGACATTTCAGTAGTTGAGCTGATGGATGGCGTCATTCCACACTTAACAGTCTACTTTCTTGCCTCTCTGGGTCAAATAGTCAAATACACTGGTCCCTCAGTATCCACAGAGGATTGGTTCCAGGACCTATAACGGATATCCAAATGCAGATGATGCTCAGGTTCCTTGTATAAAATGGCATAGTGTTTGCAGAGAGACTGAACATCATTCTGTATATTTTTGGTCTTCCCTATATTATTTGTAATAACTAACAAAATATAAATGCCATGTAAATATTTGTTTTATCTTTTTTGCTCAGTTGATTCAGGCAGAAGCTTTTTCTCTTGAGGCGGAAGAACCATTCACTTTCTGGAATTCTCTGACCTAAGATTCAAGACACTGTCAAAACGGAGACTGTACAGTTTGAGAGAGAAATTCCATCACTTTCACTAAATTATAGAGTTTGCTGGAAAGCAAGGGAAAACTTGAGTTTGAATTCCTTTCCAGAATTTTCTCAGTCCCTCTGAAGAACATAAAAAACATTAGAAGACAAACACTATCCCCTTTGCTGATAGATTTTGTTATTCCACACTTAAGTCTCTGTTAAGAGGGAACAACGATTGATTCTGCATGATGACACCATAGGACTCTTTTCAGTGCTTTTAACCTTTCCTTACTTGAAAGTCTTATAAAGAAGTAACAATATTTTTGCTAAATTTAAACTGACCCTATTATTAAGAAAAGAATGTGTGTGTGGTGGCACACACCTAATCACCACTTAACCTCTATGTCCAGACAGCTGCCTTTAAAACGGAAAATGTTAATATTGACCTGAAGATTTAAGGAAGAACGACTTATTAATGACCTGCAATTTAGGAGACTGTGGCAAGGAGAGTGCAAATTTGAGGCCAACCTGGGCAATTTAGCAAGACCTCCAGCAACATAGCGAGACCCTATCTCAAAATAAAATAAAAAAAACTGGGGTGCCGGGAACATAGCTCAGTTAGTAGAGTGCTTGCCTCACATGCACAAGACTCTGGGTTCAATCCCCAGCACCACACACACACACACACACACACA